TTCTTTGAAAAAACATCCAAAAAGGCAAAAGAAAATGGGAATATATTTACTTTCAAATAGTATTTTTTTTTTCTAGTGAGTTTCAGAAAATGTTCTGAAATGCATTTGAAAATGCCTGTAGAAAATTAATTCCCATGAGATGCATTTATGTGACAGGGAAGAGAAAAACAGCTGTGATATAATCCTCCAATTGTATTAGGTTTGTGGGTTTTTGTGCTGCTTCTTTCAAGGCATGCCTAAACCTTCTTATTTGCTATGTAAATACAGCTTGCACCATCTTTCAGTAGAAGAACAAATGATAAAAGGGATGCTGCAAGCAAAGGATGTGGTTGCCAAATATGAAAAGGGCGAAATGAGCAGTGAGGGAGGGACCTTCAGGTTTTGTGCTTCTCGCAGCCTTTCAGAATCCTGCAATGCTCTGTTTGTCTTAGCACGGCAGCAACAGGTGTAAATAATTGTGCACACAGCCTGGACGTGCTCAAGGGTGCGCTTGGATTGCTGCTGTTGGACTGCTTGGATTAGCTGGTCCAGTGTTGCAGAGGTGCAGCACAGCGCAGGCAGGGGCTCTTGGCTGCCCGCACCCCACCATGTCTGCTGGGAGCGTCAGGCTCGGGAACGCAGAACTTACTGGAGAGTGAAGTCATCATGGTTTGCTTGGACCTTGAGCGTGAGACTTGGAGTGCAGCCTCTTCTCCCAGTTAGTGAGCAAGTGCTGGCTCGTACCACGCAGCAGTCAGGCCAAACCTTGGGATTGCAACCCCAGAGGCAGAGCTTGACGGATGTCTTCTGTCATCTGTTACCTAGCAAAAGCCAGTGAGCCTCACCCAGGAAATCTTGTCTGCAATTTCTGCTCGAGGGGCCCCCAGTTATCTTCATTCATGGGACAGAAAGTGCATGACATCTCTTAAAAAGTATTTTCAGTTATTGAGTACACCAGGTCATGCACTGGATACTTGGGTGCCAAAATTAAAAAAATTATAGAAAAAATAGCAAATAGCCTTTCTTGCAATCAAAGCTGCTTTTGTTATAGGAAAAGACTAGTCAGAGTCATTTGGGAATGCAATCCCACGTGTCTGGGAGCACCAGGAAGAGGTGAGCAGAGCAGAAGATAAGATGACACGTGTGCTGGATTTTCCTGATGGCAAATACATAGTACTGGTCTCAGGTCAGTAGTGCACTTGTCATGTCACTTCTCCAGGAAAGGGGAACCAACAGAAATGGAGGAAAAAGAAAGAAAAAGAAAAAAGACAATCCATTATTTATTTAACGTTATTCCCCATGAGCAAATTCTTACCGTGATTTTCCTTTCACCAAGCAAAATTCTGCCTCCAGAAGCATGAACTCTATGTAAAGGTTGGGAAATAAAAGAAAGAAGGAAAAAAAACCACCAAAATTTCTATTTTCTTGCTAGTCAGTGTACCCTAAGTATAGAGAGGCTCCTCTGGGAGTTGCAATTACTCCCTTGTGGACACTGGACATGTTTTGGGTTTGGTTTTTTTTATGGCTGCAGCTCTAATCTGAGTGGTTACAAAATTTAGTCTTCCACTGTTAGTGCCAGCTTTCTAAGGAAGGCAGGGAAGAAAAAAGTGAAGTATCACTTTGGGGTGTTTCTGGGGAAGAAATGTTTCCACAGCTCTAATTCGCTTTCTTGGGAACACTGAAAATTCCTGTCCCAGTGCTGTGCTTTGTGGAATCGAAGTCTGCAAAGTCTTGGATTTGAAAGGAGTAGAAACTGAATCTTACCCAGAAGCTGCCTTTAAAGTCTTGATATAGTGAGGTGTGGTAAAAACAAGCAGTAAAAGTAAAATAATCAACATTTCTGGTTATAGTAGTGTTGATGATTTTTAAAGGTGCCTGTCTTGGAGTAAGAATTATATTGTGAAGCATTATCTGAAGAACCTTTCTCTCAAAGCAGTGCTGCAATGCTGCTTTCCCCCGAGTTAAAGATTCACGGTTTATTGGCAACCTGAGTTAATCTGGAAGCTTGATCTCTGTTCTGTGATGTAGGATTTAGGTAATTTTGCACAGGTTGCAGTCTCTTCGTGGTTATGCTTGGATTTGAGAATCATTTGTATGTAAATGATCCTGATCTCCTGTTCTTTTGCTTCTTACCAATTAACTTCATATGGAAGCACACGGTTCTGTGAGCAAAACTGGCAAGCGGTGCTGCCTGGGGCCAGTGAAACTAGGTGGTGTTAGCATGGTGATCATGATTGCTGGAGCTCATTACCAAATTGACTTATTGGATAATCAAACCTTTGAACTCAGTTCAGTGATATCCCATCCGTCTCACTCCATGAGGCCACTTTGAGGCAGCTTTTTTATAACGTGTCCTATGTAGATGGTAGATGTGTTTATTTTTTAAAACAGTAAGAAAGCCCAGTGGAACAAGAAAAAAGTTGGAAGAACAAGCCCTCAAAGAGATTTTGACACTGGTGCTAAGGGTTTTATGGAAGATAAAACAGCTCAATTTTTTATGGATGGAGGAAAATGCCATTAAATCCCTTGTGCCTAACTGCTACAGTAAACTTGCCAGAGTTATTCCAATAACAGCACACTGTGGGACATTCAATGTTTTTCAATGAAAACTAGGCTCAAAAATGCAGCTCTCCTGTGTGTGGATCAAGGCGAGCTCCTGGGTGCTTAGTATGTGTTTCTATATGCTCACAAATGACTGTAGAATTATTTTAAATGAGATTTGCTAGTTTTGGCTTTGAAACTGCATCCACTATATCTACTCACTGCCTCTGTGCCTGTAGTGCATGACGTAGTTAATTTTGCAAAAGGAAAATAACTTCTTATTGCACGAGTAAATGGGAAAAATTCTTCAGGTTGCTATCTACCAGGCTGGTCTATATTATGAAGAAATAAAACACGTACTCGTGGCAAGACCTGCTGTAGTAAAAGCAGAAATTTGCTGAAGTTCTCTACAAATTTTGATCCTTCCAGTAATGTCAGATGGAAATCATCATTTTGTGATCTAGCACAGCTTTGAGCAAAATTTAGATGAAATCTGTCAAGGTCTGCAGGATTGTACATTGTATTTTTTGGAGTTTGTTTAAAATCAGGGCTCATTGTGAAAGGGAGGTGGCAGGAGAAAGCTGGAAAATCTCATCACTGTGGTTGGGAGACCCGTTTTCAGATCAGTGTCCTGATGCTCAGGTGATTTAGTGCCTGTTTTGCTGCTTCTTGCCTTTTTCAAGGCTGGGGGAGAAGATAATCCTGTTTTCCAAGGCATGGTAGAGCTGGGATTTTAAAGCTGAACATTGTCTTGGAAAATACTTATCCCTCAGAAAATTATGTTTATGATGATGCTGAGTTTTAGCGTTTAAGGAGAGGGTGTCTCAGACTTGGATTAAAATTACGTAAAACCGGAGCAAGTATGTGCTTCAACTATCATATTATTGAGTATTCTGCGGCAGGAGAGTTGCTCAGAGCACCATGGGCTTAAATTACTTAAATAACAGAAAAAAACTTTCAGAATGGAAAATCTCCTATTTTACAGCAAATGCAGACCTCTCTATGCTTGAAATGCACCCCATTATGCATTATTATCTAATATTGCACAAGTAGTGAGCATGGGACTTTCAAGGGACCTAGAAAAAGGATGGCCTTTCAGGAACTTGCAGGCTGAACCTTCTCACAGAGCAGGATAGTTAAGAGGGTGCTCCTTGGGGCGACAGGACAATCGTTACATTTAATATTAATTTTTGGCTAAGCTGGACTTTACACATGGGTGTCTTTAGTGTAGAAACTCAGATTCCCATTGCTGGACATGGAGCAACAGTGACTGAAGGCTTTTTGGATGTTGGAGGAGGTGGGATGGTAGTGAGATGTTATGACCTGGGAATTAAAGTGAGAATGGTATCAGACAAGCCTATTCATATGGCTTCCTTACCTGCATTTCCCAGTTAGCCCCAGTGTTTCCCTAGGCAGGGACTGAGGGGGCGTGTGAATATCTGGTGTTTAACTGGAGTAAAAGTGTTAGGTTGAGAGAAGCAGAAGGGTGCTTAGAGAGAGGCAAAGGAGACGGGAGAAGCAGGCTTCTTCACGAGCTGTATGTGGCATGGCATCACAGGGGGGATGGGGAAGCACTTGGAGGCCAACTGCTTCAGTTTCCCCACCTGATGTTTCAGTTCAAACCATAAAGAAATCCATATGAAGCTCCAGTCTGTGCAAGCACCTTGGTCTAAACAGGAGGCTAAATAAGGTAATTATAAGGTGGGAATCCCTCAATATTCCCCACACACAGTACTTGGCGTGGCTATTGCAGGATGTACAATGGGTTAATGCACTTCTAAAGCAGGCTCGCCACTTCTTGCTGCTTGACTGCTCATTGCAGGTTTTCAATGAATTAGCCCATTGAGCATTACACTCTCGAGGATTTGGCTGGGCTGATGTGCACCTTTGCATGTGTCACATGGCCTGCAGCTCAAGGGGCCAGATGCTGCTCTTGGGATGAAGCAGCAAGGCATGAACCTCAGAGACAATTAATGACTTGCTCCAGAGAACAGTCTTGTGTTCATCCCTCTGTTCACAGCTGGTTTTGGGGATAGATTTGTGGTGTGGTTTGTTTGTTGGGTTTTTTTTTATTACACCATGGAAAATGTTTTTCTGTCCAAACCAGCTGGGTCTTCAGCAACACTAAAAAATTAAAAGCACTTCTGTGCTAGGTGTTCCCTAAAAGATGGAAAATAAGATTTTTACATTAAAATGCCAGGAAGAAAAATGGTGAGGGCATAAAGCGCTGCTTTATTTTCATCAGAGGCTAGTGCTTTTGGAAAATCAGTTGTGCTCCAGTGGTCATTACCCTCCTATTTGCTTCTCTCGCTGTTTGTTCCAGCTTCTCTGTGAAAGGTGGCTGTACAGCAAGCCTTGCCTTGGCTGTAGCTCCAACTACAACTCTGCAGGCCACCGGAGTCATTGGAGGGGACGTCCTCAGGACGTAGGCTTGAGTCCTTTTTCCTTCCTCTCTTTAACCAGCTCTGCCTTTGTTTCAGGAGTATCGACTTCGGGGGCTCTGGGCCCGGGGAGCACCACTGCTAGCACCACACCACGGATGGCCACCAGCACCACCAGCCGCCCTACCACCACCTCGGCTTCTGGCAGGAGGAACAGGAGCACCAGCACACCATCGCCCATGGCCGACGTCCCCGACGAGATGACCACGCACCTCCCGCCCGCCTCCTCCCAGCTGCCGCCCGCCGGTGCGGAGAGCTGCGACCCCGTGGAAGCCCGTGATATCATGTGGTCTCGGACTCGGCAGGGCCAGGTGGCCAAGCAGCCGTGTCCCATGGGCTCAATAGGTGAGTCGAGGGGTGGGAGGGCACAGCAAGCTGTCTCCACTTGCCCATGGCACGTTGTGAGTGGGCAGCTTTCACCACTGGAGGACGCTGATGCCTTCTGTCAGGTCTGCCTTGCCTTGGTCAGGTTTGGCAAGCAGCTGGCTGGGGATGAAGCCTCAAGATGCTGAGCACTTTGTGCAGGATCTTTAGCATCTGGCCAATGAGAGTACAAGTACTAAAGACCCTGTGGGGTTGCACTTGATGTACTGTAAAATGCTCTGTTATGTATGATGCACCTATTATCCTGGTTTTGCCTGTATTTGTAGCCCCTGGACTCACTGACTGATGATGGCTAATATTTTGTTTGTTTTGGGGCAGAGAGGGGATAGGGGAGGAGGTCAACAAAACTTGTGTTTTGAAGCTTCTGAACCAGTGCAAGTGATTTTTCAAACTGCAGCCAGCATCCAGTGTGATCAGCTGGGAAAGCAGCAGAGAAACAAAGCCAAATCTTTCAAAAGAAAGATTTTACCCCTTTTCTTCTACTCTTCCCCCAATTGTTTTCTTGAAAAACGTTGCTTTTGGAAATTTTCTGTTCAATTTAAAACACAATCAAATGAAGAATGGGTTTTGGCATATGGTTCAGTTCTCTGTGTTTTAACAAATGCAGTTTTCTAAAAATATTTATTTTTCACACTAGTCTTGGTGTCCAGCCCCAAAAATTGCTTGCAAAGGAGAAATCTTAAAGTGGAGGAAGTTGCCTGAAAATAAGGGCTGAGGGGATCTGACTTGCAGAGAAGAATCTCTGTTAATTCTCCATTCCTAGATAGCCATTCACACCTGTGTATATGAATACTGACTTACTCTTGAATTTGGTGAGGACAGACTGATAAAATACCTGTTAAAGTATGAGGGGCATGGAAAGGCATCAGTGGTGAGAATAGGTAAAGAACATTTTTACTGTCTTTCCCAGCCCTACTTGGTAAAATTAATGCAAAAAGTATCATGTGGTTCCCAGAGAGGGGAAAGGATATTCTGAACCAAAGCTGTGAAGATGAAGGCTGGATGCAGGATGCCCTTTCTTAGGCACAGGAGCTAAGGATTGGATGAAAATAGCTAAGGAAAATAAAATAATCCAATTTATTGATAGGGGATGGCCATAAACCTTTCCCATCTCTAATTTCTGTGCTTCATGCAACTTGTTAAAAGCTGTGGAATATTAGCAATGGGTCTCTTCCAACTCTCTTTGAAGGCATGAGCAAACTCTCACTGGTTTTAATTGGAGCTACTGTCAGACCAGCCTGTATTTCATGCTGAAGAGTTCAGTTCTCTGGGGGCAGAAAGTTTTTCTTGCTTTTTAACGATCTTTAACTGCACCATTTCAGATGCATTTCTCTTTGTTTGAAAGGGCCTGAGGCACTTTGCTGTCTTTTGCAGCAGGGATTGGGCAGCTCTTTCCAAACAGCTCTTTCCTCTAAAGTCCCTCTTGACACTTGGGGGTTGACTGTAAAGCCCAGCATTACATCTTGGCATTCACAGCTTTCAAACTTGTGTGTGTATCCACCCAAATGGTGTAATGATGATTCAGAGCCATAAAATCTTCAGAAAGCAGAAAGGAAGTGGAGGCACAGGGTCTGATCCCGATTCACCAGTGGTGGGGCAGAGCACTCAAGGTGCTGGCTCAGTGTTTGAGATCTAGTTTTGATTTCTTAGTACTGGGCAGCTTTCCTGCCTGGCCTAAGGCAAAGTCCTTTCTCTGTAGTTTCCGCTTGGCAAATTGGAAATAGTGTTCCTGCATTACCTCGTGGGTCTTTTACGTCTTAGGGCCCCTAAGCATCAAGATGATGGGAGACTTGGACACTGAGATGACTCAGAAGTGTCCTACTGAGGACCTGAGCACTAATAAGCTCCCAGGTTTTGCATGAGGTATATGTCACTGTGAAACGAAGCCTATGACATGGTGTGCTGGGGACAAAATGTAACCAATAACATTAAACGCAATGGCTTTCCTATTGCAGGGGTCGCGACTTTCCGATGTCTTGCGCCAGATGGTATCTGGGAACCCCAAGGACCTGATCTTAGCAACTGCTCTTCACCCTGGATCAACCACATTACTCAAAAGGTAAAACCCTTCCCATGTGTTGACAATTCTGAGTCTCGAGTGACCTTCCTCAGCTCCCTTTTTTTTTTCACACAAGGAACCTAAAGGGATCGACAGTCACACATAAAGCATGAGCTATGCATAGTAGCCAGGAATTGCAAGGAGAAAGCAAGACTATGATTGTCTTATGGAAATTAAGGCAAAGAGGATAAGGGAAGGCAAAGGAGAGGAGCTGGAGAGTGGAATTAAACTAGAGTGAATGGCATTTCTTGTTTGTGGCAAGAAAAGGAGAAAAAGGGAGGAGGAGGTGGGTGGACATATGGAAAAAACTGACTTGTTGCAAAAGGAAACTCCCTTTCACGCATCCTCCAGGAATTTTTCATGTCATGCAAGCACAGGATAAACCCTCTAGTTAAGAAATTCTTACCAAAGAAAGGCAAGCTCAATGTGAAATGTTTGCATTGTGCCTCTGACTTTCTGTTTTTAACTTCTGCCCAAATTATAACAGAACTGATGGAATAGAAAACAATGCCAGAGTAATGCATAGCTCTTGACTCTTAAGTCCCTTGATGAATGTTTTCTAGCACTTCATCATTTATCAGTGTTAAAAGTGCATTAACATGTGACAATGGAAGTTCAAGACAAGCAGAGCTTATTTGGTAGCAATATGTTGAGCGTTTTTGTTATTAATGCACAGTGGTGCTTTCAGCTGATTTCATTACAAACAGAGACCAGATGTGTGTTTACGCTGTAGAGTCTGTGGGCTGAATCTTTATTATAGCAATTTGTGGGGATTTATTCACTCCTTTAGCCAGAGCAAGCAAGTCCCGGCGTTGCAAGTTAGCTGTGCTGCTGCACGATAGCAACAGAATCACAGAATATGCCGAGCTGGAAGGGATCACAAGGATCATCAAGTCCAACTCCTGGCCCTGCACAGGAGCATCCCTAAGAATCACACCATGTGCCCGAGAGTATTGTCCAAATGCTTCTTGAACTCTGTCAACATTGGTGCTGTGACACTTTCCTGGGGAGCCTGTTCCAGTGCCCAACCACCCCCTGTGTGAAGAACCTTTTCCTGATATCCAACCTAAACCTCCCCTGACACAACTTCAGGCTATTCCCTTGGGTTCTGTCACTGGTCACCTCAGAGAAAAGATAAGTGCCTACCGCTCCCCTTTCTCTTATGAGGAAGTTGCAAACTGCAGTGAGGTCTCCCCTCAGTCTCCTCCAGGCTAAACAGACCTGGAGCTGCTCCTCATACAGCTTTCCCTCAAGGCCCTTCACCATCTTTGTTGCCCTCCTTTGGACACTCTCCAACAGCTTATTGTCTTTCCTATATTGCAGTGCCCAAAACTGCACACAATATTCAAGGTGATGCCGCACCAGTGCAGAGCAGAGCAGGACAATTCCCTCCCTCAACTGGCTGGTGATACTGTGCCTGATGCCCCCCAGGACACAGTTGGCCCTCCTGGCTACCAGGGCACTGCTGACTCATTCAACTTGCCATCGACCAGGACCCCCAGGTCTCTTTCTGTGGCACTGCTTTCCAGCATCTCATTCCCCAGTCTGTATGTACATCCAGGGTTGCCCCATCCCAGGTGCAGAATCCGGCACTTCCTCTTGTTGAACTTCATGTGGTTGGTTATTGCCCAGTCTTCTGATTTGTTGAGGTCTCTCTGCAGGGCCTTCCTGCCTTCGAGGGAGTCAACAGCTCCTCTTGAGTTTTGTGTCATCTGCAAACTTGCTTAGGATCCCTTCCAGTCCTGTGTTCCAGTTGTATATGAAGGTGTTGAAGAGGGCCTCAGATGGAGTCTTGGGGAACCCCACTAGTGATAACACTGTACTCCCAAAGAACCTGCTCCCTGTCCTTCATCTTAACTAAGGCTCAGCAGCCTGTGAATTGCACGTATGCCCCTGATCATCACTGTCTCGCTTCGTCTGTGTTTATACCCGTCCCTCCCCAAAGGCAGGGAAGACATCGGACTGCTGTGATATGGTGCAGCCCTTCCAAAGCCCATAGTTCTTCTGTCCCACAGAGGAGGGTGGGCATCTCTACTGCCATATGCCCAGTGAGCTGATTAATAAAGACTGCCTTTGCTGGCATTAGCAGCTGTGCAGCTCTTGTTTTATGACCTATGTACTGATCCTGGAGGGGTTAATATTACTTACTCCAGCCATAATTCACCCAGGCAGCTGGGAGACCTCTTGCTGCTCGGTGAAGATGACTAGGCCGTAAGCCATTAGCAGAGGGAAATAATAGCCTGCACTGATGAAATCTTCATCAGGGTTAGGCTTATTTTATTTGAAACTCTAGCTATCATTTGCGTAACAAATGAGCCCCATTTCATTTGTTACACGCTTTCATAGCAGGCTAAAATTGAACAACCAGGTTTTCAGAAATGCCCACCAGGTTACAACTGGGACTTGATTTTGTTTTTTCTTTCCTGAAGGAACTTAGTTATATTCAGCTTTGGAAACCTTCCACCAGTTGATATTTGGGAATCTACCAAATTACCCTGGATCTCATTTTGCCTGAGTGGAAATTCACTGGGATCTTGGGTTATGTGACCCATTGTCTATGGAGAGTTGTTACAAAACATCAAGACTTTCCAGGAGTGACTTTTGAGGGGAAAGCCCTGTCTGGCTTGCCTAGGGGTTTGTGTTGGGATTTGCATTCATTGAATCATTTTGGTTGGAAAAGACCTCTAAGATCATTGAGTCCAACCATTCACCCAAAGCTGCCATGTCCACCATAAATCCATGTCCCTAAGTGCCACATCTGCATGTCTTTTAAATCCCTTCAGGGCTGGTGACTCAACTACTTCCCTGGTCACTATGTTTGCCCTCATATCCAATAAAGGATGGAGATTCTCCTTAGCCCTCCTTTTGTTGTAAGTGTATTTAGAGAAACATTTTTATTGTCCTTTGTGGCAGTAGACATACAAAGTTCTAGTTGAGCTTTGACCCTGCTAATTTTCTCCCTGTACAACCTCACGATGTCCTTGTAGTCCTCCTTAGTTACCTGCCCCTTTTTCCAGAAGTCATAAGCTCTCCATTTTTCCTTTCATTCCAACCAGAGCTCTCTGTTCAGCCAGGCCAATCTTATTCCCCACCAGTTCATCTTTCGGCTCATGGGGATGTCCTGCCTTTAAGATTCAGTAGGATCCTTAGAGTAAACACAATTTTAAATTAATTCCGAAATAACCAATAGCTGCTTGGTTTCCCTGCCCAAGCAAGAGGCTAGAAAATCATTGCTGCACTTAAGAGATGGAGACTGATTTATCCATAAATCAAGAACTTGTTTCTCACATCCCTGCTGTGGATGGGATACTTCCCTTCTGCGGGCTTGCAGATTTGCTCCAGCACCTCTCTAAAGATGAAAAAGGAGCCTTCCTCCTCTAAGCCAAGCCAGCTTTTCTTCTTGCTGCTGTGGGGGCAGATAGAGGAAGCAGTAAGCCAGCTGTGCCATGAGGACAGAGGTGCTCACACCCTGCAGCTCAGCTCCCCTGCGTCTCTAGCTCTCCTGGGTCCTCACTGGGCCACCCATCCCACAGCGTCTGCAGCTGCAGCACAGCTGACAAAATGGGTAGAAATACTTTTTTGGCAACCAGGGTTCATACCTGCTCAGTGTCTTCATTCCTAATCTGCTTTGTCTCCCAATAATCTCCGCTTCTGTCACCTGCTGGGTCCAAACTTCCACCCCGCTCAGGAAGAAGGGTGGTGGGTCCCCTGGAGGGATTTCAGGCAGAAAAGATGGTAGGGAAATGCTGTGTTTGCTTTCATATCTCTGTAGTGAAGGAAGGATTATTATTTACTTCTTTCTTTCTCCTGCTGAACTCAGACTGGTGTTTGCCTGCTTGCATCACGGTATTAGGTTTTACGGCCATTTCTTAGCTTCCATTAGAGTTATTGTGCTTGATGGAAGATCAGAACAAATGTTCGCTTCAGCAATTCATTGGCCTCCTGACATTTACTTTAACTTTATTGTTGGTGCCTACCGTGCCCTCGTAACATAGCAGGAGAATAAACTTGCCAGTGCAATTGAATTATGCACTGCTACCTGGGTTATTTCTGGAGTCATACAGTAACAGGAAGCAAAAAGGTCAGCTTTGGATACATTGCATCGTCCTGATCATGGGGTCATACATTCAGTCTCAGCCTGTTTGTTTTACCTCTTGCTTTCATCAGCACCATCCTTAGTACAGTGTGTGACTTGCCTGAAAATATCGCTTCCGTGCTGCAGCTTTCAGTTTTGGGTACTGCCTGGGAGGTACAGGCACCACTGTGCTCAGCTTCAAGCCACTGAAAGGGAGGAGGCCTCTTTTGTAGCAGAACAGAAAGCTTTTGTGTCCTTCAGGAATGTACACAAAGATACAATCTGTAAATCTAAAACACATGCTTTAGATTTACATGTCCTCCTGAGCGGCCTAGATCATGTCCTCACAAAGAGCAGATGAACCTCAGGGTTCATTGTACCTTCCTCAGGTATTGTAGATCTGCTTGGGCATGCATTGCAGAGGAAGTTAGGTTTTGTGTAGGACATCACCACGTCGTAGTGTCCAGGCCTGTGGGTGAAGTTGCAGTCCTGATGACACCATGATGAAATCATTCATCCAAGTTGCTTTTGACAGTCTGTTTTCAGAGTGCTGTCATGAACAGGATGGACCAGATGCCATGGCTGATGTATTATTAAAGGGTCGTAAAATGCAGTTTAAGTTGTTTGAATACTGTAATTTCAAAACCACTTTTTCAGTGTTCTCTAGCTCTGCTGTATTATATGGAGAGCAGTGATCCAACTCTCTGTTGGATAACCTGTGTTTAATTAGTTAGTTATATCCTTGGGTATCATCCAATAAAAGAAAAAAGGAAAGTTGAATGGAATGGGTTGTTCATGTGGTGGGAGTGCTCATTCTCTGCTGGAGAATAGGAAGGCTCTGCAGAGGGTGTAGACAGGCTAGATGGATGGGCTGAGACCAGTGGTATGAGGTTCAACAAGACCAAGTGCCAGGTCCTTCACTTCAGCTACAATAACTCTATGCAGTGCTACAGGCTGGGGGCAGAGTGGTTGGAAGGCAGCTCAGTGGAAAAGGACCTGGAGGTGCTGGTTGACAGCGGCTGAACATGAGCCAACAGCGTGTCCAGGTGGCTAAGAAGGCCAATGGCATCCTGGCCTGCAGGACCAGAGCAGTGATTGTCCCTCTGTACTCAGAAAGAAATACATTGAGGTGCTGGAGCAAGTCCAGAGAACAGCAATGAAGCTGGTGAAGGGTCTGGAGCACAAATCTTATGAGGAGCAACTGAGGGAGCTGGAGTTTAGCCTGGAGAAAAGGAGGCTTGAAGAGAGCCTTATCACTCTCTACAGCTCTCTACAACTACCTGAAAGGAGGTTGTAGCCAGGTGGGGGTCAGCCTCTTCTCCCAGGCAACCATCAACAGGATAGACAAGAGGACAGAGTCTCAGGCTGTGCCAGGAGAGGTTTACGTTGGACATTAGGAGAAAATTCTTCACGGAAAGGGAGATTAGACATTGGAATGGACTGCCCAGGAGGACGGTCCAGGACCGTCCCTGGAGGTATTTATGAAGAGACTGGATGTGGCACTTGGTGCTATGGTCTAGTTGACATGGTGGTGTTTGCTCATAGGTGGGACTTGATAATCTCAGAGGTATTTTTCAACTTAAACAATTCTGTGATTAAAAAAAAAAAAGAAAAGGATGACATATATGCTCTGACTCTCTTCTATGAACACACACATGTATGTTGAAATTTCTGCTAGGGAAAGAAAAAGGCCGTGAAGTCTTCGCAGTGTCAAAAGTTAGCTCACAGCCCATGTTATGGCCTTGCTATCTGACTAATGTTGCCTGATGAAACCTGTCAGCTGTTTGTCCCTCCAGAAAACAGCATCAACTTCGTGGTCTTTCCAGCTGACCAGTCCATCTCTATGTCACTGTTCTTAAAAATCCTAGTTCAGTCTTTCTTATCGTCTTTTTCTTTTTTTGATATCAGTCAGCCTCGGGCTGCAGGAAAATATTTTTGCTTTTATGACTACTGGTGCTTTAACACATTCATTCCCTTCCCAGTATCTTTCTTATTTCTTCCAAGTTTTCTTCCCTAAATAACTATTTTTTTGCAATTTCTCTCATTTTTATTCTACTGTCCTCTTCTGCAGTCAGTTCCCTCTGAGAAAGGTGGGGCTGAAATGGTGAGCACTGCTGCATGAGTGTCTTTGTTGGTCTTTCCAGGCAAAACTCCTTGTTCATTGACATATATGAAACAGGCAGGAATGTATGTCCTCTCTGACAACTATTATTTCACAGTCTTTTCAGTCATAAGAAGGTGCAAGATAATGATACAAACTTGGAAATATTAGCATAGTGTTGCACAGAGGGATTTCAGGTGTGCCAATGATCATTTGTAAATCTAGCCTGAATCCTGCCATTATGTCCAAATAGAAGAGGGGAACAATTTTTTTGGCAAAGCTATAAAACTATGTTTTGTGTGTTGACATTATTGAGAAACATTATTATTCTTCATTAAATATTATTCATTATTGAGAAACATTTTTTCTCACCTTAAAATAGCACTCTAAGACTAGATTTAATCAGTTTGTAAAAGGAAAAATATCAGCCAAAAAAAACCAGAAACCCAGTTTGCTTTGAACAGAATGTTTTCTTTTATCCCAGAATCCTTTTTGGTTTTTAAGTTTGCTTTTTTTTCATAATCAAGATATAAAGTTTTAAAAAGTTGTCTCAAATCATAAAAAGATACATTATTTTTAATTCCCTTTTTTTTTTCTTGAGCCTCCCAGTAAAAAGGTCAGTTACTTGCACATTTTTTCCAGACTTCTTGCTTACCTCTTGGTTACAACCTGACCACTGAAGAACCTCTTAAGGGTTGTTCCTGTGTTCCTATATAACTATGTTAGTTTGGGTTAAAGAGTGTTACATGTTTTGGAAGAAGTAAGTTGTGAAGAGCTTGTTTTCCATGCAGCAATAATGAAGAGGAAGATGTGGAGAAGTGCTTTATAGAAGGGAAGTAAGTTAGCAATGCATCCTCTTGGGCAGCAGTAAGCTTTGCTGAGCATTACGTACAATTAACCAAAAAAAGGGTCTCAATCCTGTTATAAGGGACCAGATATGTATCTTATCCCTGGAATATTCAGCCAACATTTGGGACTGATAGTAGAAGCTGGGTCTGACAGGATTGCACTTCAGTTTCAGTGGAAAATGCTCTAAAAGAATTGGAGACATTAGCCTTAGCATGTCACACAGCCATCATTTTGGACGCCCCCTCATGCGCGCAGCCAGAATGGACGAGTGTCTCAGCACTGCTGTAGTGACTTGTACCTGCATTTTCTGTATGACAGTGTATAGGTTTGGAATTGTCAGTGCTAAGAAGTAGCTTCATTACCTGTCAACCAAAAACGTTGTCCCAAGGGAATGGCACATCTCTGTGTTTTCAGGACACCTGGGCATGTGAAAAAGTTTGAGTAAATACTTCTATGTCCTAGGAGTTCACAGATTTTGAGCTTTAGTCTGCCTTTTTCTGGGGCATTTCTTCAATTGTTACCTATTTTTTGTGTTGTTTATTTGGCCACACTAGAATTCCTCAGCTTTGCAGTTTTTAGGGTCAGTACAAGAGAAGAGGGAAAGGGTTTATTAGTGACCAGCCCACACTACTTTAGCAGACAGATAGGAACAACAGCAACCTGCAGGGAAAGAAAACTCTTGTCTTTGTCTTTGTGGCACCTGAGCAATTTTCTGTGAGCATGCCAGTTTGCATAGGTTTGTGGTCCAAGTGAAAATGTGAGCATCACATATTAGGTAGCAGGGATTTTCTTTTCTAATATATCTAAAAAAAAGTCTTGAATTCCTGCAGTTTTCTGCAAAGCTTACAGAAACACAGTGTGTCATGATACATGCTAAGCTCCAGCGATGAACTGCAGGAAAATGTTGAAATTGATTTCTTTATGTAAAGGGATTTGATGCAGTCATTCTTTAAAGTTCTGAGAGCCAACAGAAGAGGTCAAAATTCAGCCTCTCTGCTGATGCGTGGCTTTCTTCAGCTGCTTAGGAGAGCAGGCAGCTGTAAGAATAGGATCTGGTTTCTATGGCATTAGCCTTCTGTGCAACGAGGAAGAAATAATTTAGTTTTTGAATATATGTTATCACTGCTCTAATGGGAAGAACAACATATTATCTCCTTTATTTATCTTCTCTATATCATCATATGCTTTAATTCTCTGAGGACGAGCATATGAACATATTCAGTTAGATTTCATTAAATCAGATGGGCTGTTGCTGTCAAATTGATAAAAGTAAGTTATTCATTTATAACTCAGCTAATTGATTTACAGAGAGGTAGAAGCTCAGCCTGTAATCTTTCCCTAGAATCTTGCTTTTATAATAAGCACCAGAAATTGAGGGAACAAGAGAAATATCTGATTTTTAGCTCTTGGAAGATAAAACAATTGGAAATTCATATGAAGAGCCCAGCAGAGTTGATCATTGAGCCTGACAGAGAAGTGGGAGCTTTGTTAAAGTGTCATCCTGTGTAATTTCTCCTTATCCCTGGCATATATATGCTACTTGTAATAGTGTTTTTGTAGTGGGCTTCTCATAAAAAGGAGATGGGACCAACTGCCCTGTCCCAAATCCCCATGGCATAGAAAAGGGTTACCAGATAGGGAGAGCAAAACACAGCAAGAAAGAGGAAAAAGCCACAGGGGACAAAGTTAGAGTTTTGCAAATAATTACGCAGTGAATTTCACTGCAGGTGACTTGTGAGTTTTGTGACTCAGCTACATGATAAAAGTCTTTCAATAGAAGATTCAACCGAACAGTCTGCTGGGTTTTCCCTTCCAGTGGGCCTCTGCTTGAAACCTTAAGCCTTTTTGTCCTGAGTTAGTATGCTTTTATACGTGCTGAGAGTCACTAGCCCCATTATAGATGATGTGGCCTGTGTGATAAGGAGCCTGCGTGCAAATGCTGTGATAAATCAGCACCTGATTATTAAATCTGTAAGATGGGAACTGTGAACTTTATTCTCTGGTTGATCTGGGTTATGTCACCTATTTTTGTTCCTTTCACAAGGAACATTTTTGTGCAGGAGTTGTAACAAAAATCATCACTTATCATCAGGTAACCTTCTGGAATCAGAAACTGCTCTTCCTTGGCAGGAGAGACTGTTTATATGGTTTGGTTTTTTTCAAGTGGCATAGGTAAGGCAATGGAACAAGCTAATTAAAGTCTTCATTAGCATGGGCATCCCATGGAAAACAGTGCCCCATGAGAAGAAATTGTTGAAGCCAACATGAGTGACTATAGCTGGAAAAAACACATTTATAACCATACTCAAAACACTGTTCATGGTAAAAAGATGAAGACCCTTGATGTGGTTTACTTCTTGGGAAATTCTTTTATTCTCCTTTTCTTCTCCTCTTCTTCATTTCTTTTCTTTTTCTTCTTCTTGCGAGGAGTTAACTTGCTTAAAACTGTGGGATTGGAAGGGACTGGAGTAACATCACGTTAGCAGCTGGGTACAACCTTTTCCTCTGTTTTCTCGACTGCAGATGAAGTCGGGGGAGATGGCTGCCAACATTGCCCGGGAGCTCGCGGAGCACACCAAAAACCACCTGTACGCCGGTGACATCGCGTACTCCGTGTCCGCCATGGTCCAGCTGGTGAACTTGCTCGACGTGCAGCTCCGGAACCTGACTCCAGGCGGGAAGGACAGTGCTGCACGCAGCTTAAATAAGGTAAAAACAAAGGGGCTCAGGAGAGGACAGGAGGCTGATGTGAAGGTTAAATGAACACTTCTGTGCACGAATATAAACAGAGGCAGAGAGAAACATTCATTTACGCTGGAGATACATTTACAAAAGGGGCATAAGACATCATCATATTTATACATTGGGTTTCAGGGTGCTTTAATATTAGAGGGCCTTTTTAGTGATAACCCATGACTGAACCCAGAAGCACCTTACTGCGTGACAACAGTGCCCCAGTTTAAGAAGAATTATTAGTCCTTTTGTCATTTCCAGAAGTAAGTGGAATTGCTACATAGCAGTTAAGGTGCTAGGAGTTACCAGTTGTGGCAGGACATATGAGCTGTGGAGTATGTAAGAATACATTTAAAGCTGAGGGTTTCCTTAGTCAAAGGCCCTCTTTATCACTGAGTCTCATGTAAACACGTGGGATAGGACTTACCGAGGATTCTGACAGGGAACTGTGCAGGCCTGGCTCTTAGAACAAAGAGCAGCTGAACCCTGTGACTATGAGCATATGTGGTTATATTGGCCACTCAGTTAAAATAAGACACAGAATTTTGTTCCCAGCTGCCTGTCAGGATCTGACAGTTCTGACATTCATGTAAGCGTGAACAGAACTTAGTCCCAAGATTATAGAGGAAATAAATGATCCTAGCTAAACCTGAAATTTATTCAGTGTCTTATGAAGATAAATGCTTTTCAGAGAAGTAACATAGTCTTTTTTCTTGTAAGGTATTATCATAGACTGATGCTATTTTAAATGCAAAGGGCTTCAGGATTGTTTAACATTTCAGTCACATGGGAACTGAAGTCCTGCATCTCATGTGCTTTGCATGTGCTGTGAATTGGGTTATCCCAATGCTTTTGATTAGTGCTGCTTCCAGCTATTTTTAACAATGTGGGTAATAATTTTATTAACTGTTACATCAGCATAACATTATTTGTTATAATCATACCATGGGTCTTTGTTTAAATTATGGTGATGACTGACAACATCAGGTAAAACTAGCAATTAATGTCACCTACTAACAGGTTTCATGGTTGTAGTCTGCTTGCTCTTCTGGATGTGTCCCAGCCACACCCAACATTTTGTCACTTCAGCTTTGCAAGCACATATTTTTCATCTTTTTATATGTCACTTCACAGTATTTGTTTCAATTACATGAAATGGGGTTGTGTCCTGGGGGCAGGTGTGAGTTACTGAGGGGAGGGGAAGACTGGACAAGGCAGAGCTTCTTGGCTCAGCTGTTATTCCTAGGGTCCCCATTGCAGGTTTCTTCCCCTTACCATCAGCTTTGCACAAGCAACTCATACAAATCAATTGCACTCCACATTAAAATTCCACACCACGTGGAGTCCTGCAAAACAGCGATGCGAGTCAGTGATCCAAATGACAGGCTCAGTAATTTACTTGCTCTCATTCCCCACTTAATTCTTTAGAAGAGCAACTGCTTGTGTTCATTTAAGAATGCATGAATTCAACTTGGAAGTAGTATTGGGCAAACAAAAGGCAGCAGAGTTACTGCTCCATTTTCCTCTTCGGTGATCAAGAGTATTTAAAAAAAAAAAGGAAAAAAAGTAATTTGCAAAGAGTTTTGTTTAGTGCTGTTTAGTCAGAAAGAAGAAATAAAGTAAGCACCAGCCATTAAATATTCTTTTAATCATTAAAGGAAATGTGCTGAGGATCCAAAAGTAATCACCTGTGCTGCTTTTTACTTTTTTTTTTTTTTTTTAACAAGCTGGTGTACAGTGAATTGAAATTAACCGTCATAATCAGAGTTTTTAAAAGCCATCATCTTTCAGGAGTCACTTTCCTGTCACTAAAAGCTTTATGCTTTCCACTGGATCAGGCTTAATTAAGGTAATAATTGCTCCATTGCAGACTGGGCAGACCCCTGAGTGGATAGCTCTGTAATTTTCAGCAAGGCTTTCTTTGATCTCCATTTGTTTCTGTAAAGTCTTCATACTGGCCAGATTTACCCAGAGGAAGTTTTCTGCTGTTACAAATTGATGAATTAGAGATTGAAATTAGGCATTGCATGATACCTGGGTGTATTTTGTTTATTTCAGAGCCTCAAAACTCTTGGGGACAAATTTGACTCTCAGCTGTACTAATGGGATTTCACTGCTGTGTGTTGAGAGTACAAGTTGTCCTGAATCTCTATTGATGTGCAGTTTCCAACCAGGGACATCAGCAAAAGCAAACCCAGTCAGGCCAGTGGCTCTGAGCAGCCTGATTTTGCAACGTTTCATTGCAGTGATGTAGAGCTCACCAATTCTTGTGCACTGCTGCAGAATGGTCCCATGGAGGTAAAGAGGTGCCTGTTTGAATTTCATGATACACAAAAGTGCAGTTATCAGGCATGAGGAATGAATATCAAAGTACAGTCCTAAATGTGTCTCCTATGGAAAAGGTGGGATTCTTTGTGGAAAAGCTATTCAGAATATAAAGCATTTAGGTCTAAGAATTACAAAGGAAAGCACAACTTGACATGAAAGGAGTGGATAGTGTATCCCTGGAGAATTAGTTTAATACAAAAGGGAGAGAATGGCCTTAATTGGAAATACTAAATTGAATTCCCATTTCATTGATATATCTTCTTCAATGGCCCTTACACTATCAGGAGCCCTGGGCAATGCTCTCTCCTTCAATACAAGGTGTTATCACACTAGACGTACCTGAACTGGCTTTACACAAGCCCACAGCAGTGAAGCCTAAACATTACAGGTTTTGTCTTGACAGAGACCTGAGCAGGTCTGTCAGGATGGGTCCATACAGGTCCATTCTGTATCAGAATGCAGTCCTGCACACATCTTGCTCCCTGGAATCTTCTGAAGCTTTCACTGTGCCATCAGCACTGTCTGACTGTAGAGCCCACGCTCCTCTTATGTAAATAACCACTCAGCCTCATCCTTTTCAGCCTTGTTTGACGTGGAAATGTCATGTGTGATCTCCAAACTGCAAGGAAAACATCATCTCTTGAGTATCTCTACTAGACTTCAGTATCTCCCACCATCTAACAGCTGCTCTTGCAAAGTTGCCAGTCTGTGCTTTACTTCACCGAAAAAGGACTAACCCATATTTCTGGAGCAAGTCCTTCCAGTCTTCCACTGCTGCTTAACACACTATCACTCCTTTGGTTTGGTTGCTTTTCAGAACTTGTTTAAGAGAGAAATGAGGTGGTTTTTTTCATAGGCATTTTCTTCAATTTTTTTCCCTTGTTCTGTCACTAACTTGTTTTTTCTATTCCGTCTTTAATCTGCTCTCTTTATGGACTCAGCTTCAGAAAAGGGAGCGCTCTTGCAGGGCCTATGTCCAGGTATTTCTTGTATTTTTAATACACGTGTCCAGTTGTTTGACTGAATGACTGTGAAGTGAGTCTTGTCTCTGTGAATAATCTGATTACTACCACCTTTGTGGCAGCAAGTTCTAAGGTTAAGGTTACAGGATAATAATGTCATTTTTCACATCACCCCACCTGCCCCATTGCTCTCAGACTTGACGAAAATTCAGGCAAAATCTCTGAATCAGAAAATGGAAAAAAAACACAGAAGAGATCTGACAAGGCTTATCTGGCCATCTGAATAAGCAGGACAGTATAGATGTATGCAAGTAAAGAATGCAAAGTTGCTGCTCGCGGAGGTGTCTCCAGACCAGCTGGATTTTGCTTACAGCATGTCACTCACATAACTGCCACCTGCATTTCCTTAGTTTTCTTTCTTCCTCCCTTACCCTTTCAAATTTAGAAACAATTCAAAATGGCAACACTTGGCATGAGGGAGGAGGTAGGATCATAATGAAATGCAGAGTCTCACAGAGGGATGTAGGAAGGAGGAGAGTGCTGCAAATTAAGTATAGAGTTAGGAACATAACATCCCATGAAATTCATCCAGCTCTGGCCCAACTTTCATAGGCTTACCTCATATTTTATATGAACAAAGTCAAGACCCAAACATTCTGGAAAGACCTTCTTGTAGGCTTTTCAAGGTGGGACCTTGGGTTATTTTTTTAATCCTGTCACCTTGCCTTATAACATTGCTCCAGTGACTTTTATATAAGCCTGTTTGTATACTGTGGGTGAGTTAATGCTGCTTTAAGAAATGTGAATGTTTTACCTTCTAATTTCTGTCTTGTGCTTGTGAACATTGATGTTGTATTTATGGGTGGTTGAGTATTATTTATATGTGTATGTGTAACACACAGAGATGTAAAAATGAACCCTATGTTTCTGGAGGGGACTGTTTATAACTGAACTTTCCTACAAAATTCAACTTCCTACAATCAGTACTGACTTTATTTTGTGAGTGCGTATTTTATTTAGCATGTGGGATTAGATGGTCTTGATTTCTAGAACATTAGAAATAAAATAACACCTCTCTGAGCTGGTAAGCTGTTTGTCTTCCCTTTGGAAAATGTCATGAGAGAGTCACCTTTTCCCTTCCATATACATTAAGGGATAAAGATGAGTTATGGAGTTACACATCCCTTGTCTGGTATCCCAGGGAAAGCAGCTAGTTTTCTGGTTTGAAGGAATTTAGGAAAGTTTGCAGTGCAATGCTCACTCCCAAGCTGGCTGTCTTGTCTGCTGTTACCACTGGAAACGTGGTGAGGCTGATTTGACTGTGGACTACACGATCTTGTTGGGGGCCTTGGTGCTACCTGATCCATAGTTGTCCTTTCCACTAGCTGCACAGGCATACAGAGTTGATGCATATGCCTGGTCTTTTTGTCATTTTTCAAACAACAGGGATTGGTGAGTTTAATATACTCTGCAGAAAGCTTGACCTTCATAGAATAAAGCCTGAATATTCTACACAAACTCCAGTTTACCCTTAATTTCAAGGACTCATTCCCTTTCACTTGGAAAGGCAGATTGTGTGTTTAAACATTAATCATGCACCTACTTTTTTAGTAGACAAAAACTGATGAAAGCTCATTGCTTAAGCCGTTTAGTATAAATATGGACAAATGTGGTACATATATTGAAGAGGACAGTCCTGTAACAGAGGGCTTGAAGAATGAATTAGATGACCTAATTGAACCTTTCCAACTCTGCTTTGTACTATGTGGAGGTAAAATAATGTGTCTGGACATATTTTCATACAGTTTTCCATTTGGAAAATTGTGTATCTAAAATCATCAAAAAATCTTGTGAAGGCGAGGTTATCTGTAATAGCAATTAAATGTGACTGCAGATACTCCTGTTACTTATCCTTTACCAGGTGGTGAAATGTCTGAGCTGACTAAGGAAATTTAGCAGAGATTTTTCAACAAATCTTAAATGGTGAAACCATGGACTTTGTAAAGTCAATGGGAGATGGGAAATCACACCATTCTCTGAGGGCAGAGAAATAGTGTTCAACTTTGCTAACATGATCTCCTTATGCTAATCCCATTATTTTAAAAAGCCTTCATGGCTGAATTAGGCTTACAGGGCTGGAAGTGTACCTTCTGTTCTGTGCTCCCTAGACAAAGCAAAGTGCAGTACAAAGTTTATGTGAGAGATGTCCAGAAATTACAAATATCAAAAAAGTGGACTTTTGGGAGGGCAAGGGTGACTTGAGAAGATAATAATTGCTAAAATCAGTTTTACTGTTTTCTTTGGCTGAAAATTTAGGTAGCCATGACAGAGCTCCTGAAGCAATTGGGGTGTGAAGTCCTCTTAAGGCCAAAATAAATGACTATAAATAAATATGCCAAACAGATTGAGAAATTTTGTGACTTATTCAAATATGAGACTGGGAATGCATTATCAGATGGTCATCTCATCTCTTTGGGTACCTTTATATTTATAACAAATACTGATTTAATTTGTTCAGTTTCACGGTATTGGTTGATTTAAAAGCTCAGAGATTTTGTTTACTGGAGGTTAAAAATGCTGCTTCTTTAGTTTCAAGTGCAGTAAATGATCTTTTTTTGTCTCAAAAATCCAACAAGAACCAACCTGAGAGGTGACATGATAAAGACATGACCAGGCAATTGCTGGAAGAGTTTTCAATCTTAAAGCCACATGGGCTTTAATTTGTGATACTAATTAATAGTCAGCTTAGGCTGAGCTGACCAAGATGGCAGAGTGGCCTCGAAAAGGCACTCCATTTGCTAAGAGTGTGGTTTTTTGGAGAGCAGAGATCTACATCTCTCATGCCCACCTTTCTGCAGTGCACTGTTCTTGCGCTCTATTTTGGGAGAATGAGTCACAATGGGTGATGCATTTAATTAACATAGCTTAGTTTGGTGACTGGTGTGTGATGTAAGCTGGTATGAATTTTTTGTATTTTTTTTTAGAATTTATATTTGTTCATTTTCCCAAGGTGTTTCTCCTTTAACTGAAGCACTGGGGTTGTATAAAACAGAAATTTTTGTATTTTGGAGGTTGTGAAACTGGGTTTTGTGTCACAGATTTCTTCCATGTCCCTCAGCAAGTGTCATGTGCTCACTGTTTCTCAGGTAGTGAAGGAAAAAAGTAGGGCTGAGTACTCACATAATGTCATAAGTGAGGCCATATTAACACAGAAAACTTAAACATGGAGGAAAAATTGGAGAATTTTGCTGTAATATTTAGTATCTGGAAACACAAGGTTTAATGAAGACTCATACTACACCTGTGCTTGCAGTCTTTTTATCATACCTTCATCTGATTGCAAAATCCGAGCTCATCTCCTTGCTTCACTTGGATTTGTGGGCTGCAGCTCTGGGGCATCATGAGGCCAATGATTTTTCCTGTGATGTCAACCAGTGGCCTCTTCCCATGTGAAATTGCATGCTGCATTTGGGATGAGGGTCTTGGAAGACTAAAACTTCACAGGGTTTCCATTCTTTTAGTTATTTTTTTTAAAATTTTATTTTACAAAGTCAGTCTCAGTGTTTTCAAAGCTGGAAGCTGGTGAATACAACAATGTGAGTGGCAACTTTGTGAAAGGAGGCAGCATTTTCTTTGTCTAAAGATGTTTGCTGCTCTGGTTCCTGCCATCCTTAGTTGTTCTGTAAATCAGTCGCCCCTGTTGGTAATGCTGCGCTGGTCTGTATAGCAAATGGCAAAGATTATGGAGGTGCCACCTGCTCTGTGACAATCACAAGAGCTTCTGAGTGCACGTGTCATTAGAGCCCCTCATGAAGCTGGTGCTGACGTGCTGGCAGGCTCCAGGTATCAGACAGTGGCGGGTGGTTGCAGTCGGAGTTGTCCTTCTGGTTCTCCTGGAAGTTTTCTGAACACTTCACACTTGAAGCATGGGCTGTTTAAATGGCTGTACTAAGCAAAAAATGAAAGGCTTTCCTCAGAGGATTCAAGGCATTAAGTTTAGAGCTGAGTAGAAGAGACCTTTTTTTTTTTTTTTTTTTTTTTGCTAACCCAGTAGTTCTCAGCAGATAAAAGGTGCATCTGGGACTTAGCCAGTACTATTTAAAGTGGATTAATTCTGTTTGTCCCACTTCTCTCTTGCTTGCATGACTGGTCCCAACTTCCATGAAGACTAAACGAAAGAAACTTGCAGCTCTGAGAGGGAGCACAAATTGAATTATGCTCGTTTTGCCTGTGTTTTTGTTGTGCCTGTGATAAGAAAGACTCTAACCTCCATTTATATAAAAAGGGGCAAATTAATGAACGTTTTCAAGTTCCTTGTTTGGTCACTTAATTGGCTGTATGACAAAGAACTCTGCAGTGTATGTCAAACAACTTTCAGAACCCTCTAATGATTTGTGCATTGCTTGACTCTTGATGCTATTCTGCACAGCCTGTCAGGCGAGGTATCATTGTTAAAGTGGCTGGAATAAATTGGCCAGCAGTGTGCATACAATGTTGTATATTAACTATAGCTACAGGGAGTACTTTCAGCAGCTTTTTCAAGAGATCGAGATGTTTGCCCATCAGCATCAAAGTGCCTAAAACTTTCATTTAATATAATTAAAAGAACATCTGAAAGAAGTGTGACTCGCAGCGTGGTTCTGCGGTTTGGTAGTCCTTTGTTAAAACTCTCTGAACTTAATATACTTCACAGCTTGAGAAACCTGCACTTGATTTGTGTCAGCAAGAGTGAAACTAGAAATCCTTGCCCTGCGTGTTTCTGCTGTGGTGAGCCCATTGTTAGGGGAGCAGAGGATCAAAGCAGCAGCCTTGGGTTTGTCACCAGACTCCAAAATTCTTCGCATAAATGTTAAAAAGGAAGGTGACCCCATGGTCCTACACCTACCAACTGACCTATACCTATGGTTAGTCATGCAGTGTAGAAAAACCGAGAAAAAAAAAATCTAGTGTTTTCTTTGTTGCTTTGTGCTTACTCTCTGCTTTAGGCTGAGTCACTCCTGGTATCCGGTGGCACTGGT